AATACACGCATACACAAAGAAATAAAAATTTTTTTTAAAGTTTTAAAAAATTAAAAAAGAAATGCAAATATCAAGACTGCAACCTGGGTTCAATCACCAGAGCCACCAAGAAACTGGGACGTACACGGACACACACACACACACACACATACATACACACACACACACACACACACACACGACAGAGCATCAATCTGCTGGTTAACTGCCCAAGGTGGCCAATTTTAACATATTTGGGGTTAAAACCCAAGGAAATTATCCAGGTAAGTATAAAAAAAAAAAAGATCAAATAGAATTTAAGGGGAATCTCAAGACAACCAAACCAACAGGCCCATCAGGAGCACAGAAGAAACAGAGGCAACGTTAAGTGGGCAGAGGAAAGTTACTCTCCCATCATCTACAAACAAGACAGAGGCCACAATCAGTGTGAGCAGACAGAACAGAGAGGAAACCTGGTGAGGAGGCAAGCAGACGACAGTGCACACAAGGAGCCTGGAGACCAAGAAGCATGACACAAGACCTTGTGATGCCAACCCCTTTAGTCCCAAGCAGATCTCAAGAGTTCCACGCCACTCAGGGGTTACCTAGTGAGACCTATGTCAAAAAACAAAAAAAGACTTTGAATATATGAAATCTTTTTTGGTTTTTATTTTGTGAGATGAGGTCTCCCTGTAACCTCAGCTGGCCAGGAACACGCCATGTAGACCATGTTGACCTCACAGAGATAAAGGTGTATGCCACCACACGGGGATCAGGAAACCTTCTAACAAACCCCTGCAGGCAGACACAATTCTAAATTCAAAGTATGTTATAAACATTACCTCATTTAACTCAAACACTTCAAAAGACACAACAGATATTAAATTCTAAAATGGAATTCTAACAGAATAGTTACAGCACACTGGTAGCCCAAGCCTGTAATGCCATACACTTGTGAGGCTGAGGCAGGAGGAACTCAAGCCCAAACTGAGTGGTGCCTATAATCTTTCTTATGGGACACAGTCAGGAAGATCACTGGTCTACACAGTAAGCTCCAGGTATGTATGGCAAGGGTCCTAAAAAATAAAAGTCTCAAAAGAAATAAAATCTTGATGAGCTTTGCCAGTCACAAAATAAGGCAAACAAACAAACAGGAATGGCTGTGGGTATGGCTATTCACTGCAGGCATTAACTCCACCTGAAAATGTTCACATGAAAGAGCAGGGAAATTGTTTTAATCCAGTAAATTACAGAACAAAGTCATGAGCAACCAACTGTAAGTCTCCCTGCCAGGTAGTTACAATGACACAGCACATCAGGATTCACAGCAGGCCAGTCAGGCCAGTCAGGCCAGTAACCAAACAATCTCCATGATTACAGAAGAGGCAAGCAGACAACTCCCATACACCAACAGCACAGCAATATTCTGCCTACCAAAACCAAAAAGCTGAACACAACAAAACCAGCAAAAGAACCAACAACTTCGCCTTGCTTCAAAAACCTTGTGCCACAGGACGACCTGAGCAGCAGGCCAGCCAGCTCCAGCTCTAGAGACCCTGCTTTTTTTTTTTAAAAAAAAAAAAAAAAAAAAAAGAGAAAAAAGAAAGGAGATTGGGCAAAACCATTTGAGGCACAAACTCGGAGTAATTATAATACACAGATATCTAAAATCATTCTTTCCATAGGAGTTGAGAGTTGTAAGAATTTATGATAGGAACACATTCAGCTAGAGTACTTGATTCTCTAGCAACTGTACTCATGAGTGATAACACAACCACATCCCCAAGATTTCTACAGGATCAGAAGAGGAGGCTTTTCCCTACCAAACTACAGTCATCCAAATCTATAACATAGTTTTTGTTGCTGAAAGCATTCCAAAAAACATATTACCTCAGGGGCTAGGGCACATGTAGTTCAACAGTAGATCATCTGTTTGTGCAACGCCCTGAGATCGATTTCCAGCACAGCAAAAATAACAATAATCCATTAAAAAAGAAGATGAAAAAGGCAGGGGCCAAGGATGTAACCCACTAGTAGAGTATGTGCCCCACATGCAAAGTCTTGGGTTCAATTTTTTTTTTTTTAAAAAAAAAAAAAAAAAAAAAGCAGCCATAAGCCAGGTGTAGTGGTACACACCTTTAGTGCCAGCACTC